GATTGCCCTCGTATGTGTAATATCTAATGCTATAAATCTCCTTATACTCCTTCAACTTAATGAAATATCTTTGGCACACACGTGTAATTTGATGTTAGTGAGTGACCATTTTGTTTATGTAATTTATATCACCTATTCAATTCATTGGAGATGTCTTTAAAGGTTATGGATTCAAGTTTTGGTAGCCACTATCCATCTACCCAGATAATACTATTTTGGGGTTAGACTACTACAAAAATAACCATAATAGTTGTAAGCAAACTTGGTCGCCTATGATCATCTTAACGAAAACACTGGAGATTCCATCTTCCTCAACTCAGAAGTTTCTGCATTTGAATATTACCCCTTTCTCTATTAAGACAAAATAGAGAGAATTTCATGCTTATTTCATGTACTTATAACCAATTGTAACCAATCACGTTAGGTGACTGTTTCATGGACTCCATCATGATCGTTGGCTTGTATTTTTACAAAGAAACACTTGGAAGATAGAGAGACGATGTAATTTGTTAACTTTTTCATTGCTTGCTCACAGCTGCCTGTGTCCCTTTCAGGTACTTAAAGTTCAATGGGATCAAACACTACCATATGCGGCAATATGCGGTTACAGGGGGACTCATGAAGAGTTGATACTTTAGGAGCTTATGCTTTGGAAATAGGATAATAAATTATTATATTATTGATCAGAACTGGGATTAAAGCATTTCTGACATACTCGAATTATTGACCTGTTGCTTCTCGTTCTTCATTATTCAAGATATCTGTCGTTATTTACTATTGAAAAGAGAAATTTGTTTACCCAATTCTCTATCAATTAGTGGAAAGTATTCTGAACTCCATCGTGAGTTGTATCGATAGTCAACTTTGAACTTGCTGAGGTTGCACTAACACTTTCTAATTTGCAGAGGTTGGACAGGTTGCAAGGAAACTTTGATCTCATTAGCCTCCCTAACTTTTGGACCCGCCGACACCTTATTATCCCTTTGGACATGTGAGTATCGCTGACTTTTGTTTGTTGAATTCCAAATTTGAAACAGTTTTCTTTTCTTTTCTTTTCTTTTTTTAATTTATTGTTTTTATGGGGAACAAAACTTTTATTAACAAAAGGCCTTACAGATAAGGGAGAAAAGATATCCCTGCCAAGCCAATGAGATTACGAAAAAAGATTTTCAATTGACAAAGATTTGCATCAAAATCACCAAGTAGATGAGAAAAGTCTAATTGGATCCCAAAAAATTGATGACACGACTCAATGCCTTGGAACTCTTTGATTTCTCTCAAACTGCAGTCTCCGAAGCAGATCAATTGTTGCATTAGTCTAAGATGATTCTCGAATGCCCATTGAAACCAGTCTCCGCAACACTATTCTGGGGAAAAAACACCAGCTAATTTCCCAAATTTGGACTTTGGAGGAGCTTATTCTAGCATGCAAACGGGCAATGAATAAAAGGGATGGGACCGATCCTCTACATCCTTCACCAACTAGGAGATAACGCGTAGTTAGGCAACGTCTTTTGAACTCTAGAACGAGCGCTTAACCTTTTTTGAACAAAGACCCAAAGAGCAATTTTCACCTTTTCTGGAACTTTCCCCTTCCAAATGAAACAGCTATGGAACTGCAAGCAACAACCACAAGACTCCATCAAACCAGTATGCAAAATAGGATACAAATTTATGGGTGCAATTACAGGAGCTTAAATAAGATCTGGGGAAGAGTTGATATGATTTGTCAGTTTGAAACCAGTAAATTACTGGATAACGAATCAGTTATAGTTTCTCAAACATGGTGATTATCCATAGAACACTTGTTAGATAAAAATGGATTAGGGTAACTATTGTAGTAGAATAAGGACAACGATGAATGAGATTACTAGACAGAAATCTCATTCTCTCGAGACAAACATTACTTTAGTTCTCATAAGTGGGTGTCCTTATGGGTGGATATGTGAGAGTACTTGTGTTTTTGTTGAGTTAGAGAATCCTCTTATGGATTCATCTCCTATTACAGGGAAGTGGTAACTGGTCGCTTTGAGAGGTCATTTTTGTCAACATGCGCCAAAAGGATTGGACAATTATCAGTGGTTTCTTAATGTTTCTCCAACTGTACTTACACAGAGTCTACCATTGTATGAGTATGGAAAAGGGAAAGGGAAAGGGAAAGGGAAAGGTTAGCTAAGCACTAAATAAGATTTCTTATTATTCGATGTGATGTTTTGATTGGATATGGATTAAGAACATCCATGGGAAAGACATTTAGTAAGAAAAAACTCAGTTGCTTCACTATTCAGCCAAGCGGTGTTTATTCAAGAAATGAGCAGTTAAAGCATGTCAAAATTATATCTTAATTTTGACTTGTGTATTTAATTATCTGTTCATCATCAACTGCCTTAAATATGAAAACCAATCAAATTAGATCGTGCAAATGCGTTATTAGAAGTTGTTGCACTGAATAGGGATGTGGTATCGGAGCTTCTTACCTCTCCACATTGTGGCAGTTCCTTTAGGTGATGTCCATTTTCACCAGTAAGGTGCTAAAATGCAGCCAGATTCTATTTTTGAATAGGAATAAGGCACCAATATGAAGAAACCCATTTGCATACACTTCTTGTTTGTAGAGAGAAACCAATTGAATTTTAATAAAATCGAAAAAGTAGCACTGAATCTTTTTCCCTTTACTATTATGATCTTTTTTACCATTATCCAATACTCTGCCTGGAGCCCATTTTTACCCCAACAAAATATCAAATCAAAAAAGCACTGAGAAGTACCACCACCACCCCCACCACTTCTTAGTTGTCACTAGGCTCACTCTATGCTGCATATGACATTGTTGAAGTCTTTCAATGGGTCTTTTTGTTTTCGGCAGAGAGATACTATATATCTTACATCTGATTTTTATTTTGGGTGGGTGCTTATCCTCATGATCTTCTATACATGTATAAGAATCCAAGCATCAAAATAATTCTTATCTAAAAGTGCCATGTTTGGTTCTAGTTTATTTATATGAATGAACTATGGAATGATATAAAGTTCTTTATGTATGATATAACCTTACCTTTTACAACTTATTTGAGTATAGTTAAGGATAAATATATTATATTATATTTGAGATTAAGACTCCTTACAACTTGTATCAGGTTGGCTTAGTAATTAGTCGGAGACTGATTGAAAAGGTAGTCCAACAACTCTTTTTTTTTTTAAGCTACTCATGCTCGTAGCTCAATTACTGATCTATTTGAGAATTTAATAATTTTTTGAATGAGGGTAGTTTGGAAATTCTATGGGGGTAAGGATTTCTATTTATACACTTTTGAGCAAGAGAGAGGGCTTTGGTGCTCTCTAGTGGGGCAAATGATTCATATTTTGGTGAAACTTAAAAGATCTTTGAGATCTCTAATGATTTCTGTTAGATAATTAGATTCTTCCACCAGAAGTTTCTGCTATAATCAGAAAAAGCAATACAAAATCTTAGAGAAACCAATCTTTTTTACCTTGTGAAAAGCAAGCCCCAAAACGATTTGCTAACTTGGTGGGTAAGAATCAGAAATGGCAGGCAACTGAAACAAATTCTAAGACCATGATTTGACCATTATTGGCATATTATTTGGGAGTGTCAACTTTTTGTATTTCTGAGAGTTACTCCAAAAAGTAGACCCACCCAACCAAAAGTTTTAAGGCTAATTTTGGAGAGAATAAAGGGAAAGGATAGAAAAGAAACAAAGCAGCAAACTTTGATGACATAATTTATTGTCTCCTCAGCACCAAGCCTGACTCAGTGGGGCAAAACCAAATAGAGACCAGACAGCCATGTTTTGAAGGTAACAGAGATATATCCAAACTCACTCTCTAATTCTGATAGCCTCTCCCTCTCTTTCTCTCTCTAAAACTCCTGAATCAGTTTGCCATACCATACTCAACCTTCTACTTGATTTGGCAGCAAATTTCTGGAACTTCTTGGGGAAAATGACAGAGGGGGGAGAAGAAACAGCTGAATTAACAGCTACCCAGAAGCCAGGTGAATCAAATTCCACCAAAAACAACAGAAATGAATCAATGGAGTGTGAAAGTCCAGCAGAAGGGTGGCTGGATCTGAGCTTGGGTGGGAATTTGCAGGCCCCAAATGGGGCAGATTCTGAGCCACAGCCATTGATGAACAAGCCAAGTAATTTAGCTCCAAAGGTCTTCTCCTGTAACTTCTGTATGAGGAAATTCTACAGCTCTCAGGCATTGGGTGGCCACCAAAATGCCCACAAAAGGGAGAGAGGAGCAGTCAGAAGATACAAATTTCAGAGAATAATGGCGATGATGGGTCTGCCATTGCCATTAATGAATAATGCTGCTAATTTAATGGTTCGGTCGCTGAGTGTAAGGCCCCACTCACTCGGCCATAGCCATGGAGGATCTTCTGCTGCCGCCACCACTGCCGCAAGGTTCGACGGCGACGGCGGCGGCGGTAAGAGGTTAAAGATGGCCGCCGCCGCCATATTGGGAGAAGAGCTGATGGACATGGGATGGCCAGGGAGCTTCCGATTCAACAGCCAACAGGAAACAGAGCCACTGAAGCTGGACTTGAATCTTAGGCTTTAATAATGGGCGTTTCGAAATGGGGTTTTTTGGTTTTTGTTTTTGATTATGAAATTTCATGTGTTGTAGAATGAATCGGCCATGGATGGATCAATCTCTATGGTTTGTACCCAAAAATATAATATAGCCTACAGCCAATAGCCAATAGCCAATAGCCAATAGCCAATAGCCCTATTGTCCCTTTATTTAGCTCTTTTATGATACTGCAAGCCTTCTCTAGCCATGGCCAATAAGATCATTTCTATGAGGTTGGTTCTTTTTTCTTAGAGAAAATATCACATCACTCATTTCGTAAAGGGAATTTGAGACGAAGTAAAAAAGAGATTTATGGCTACTACGTATTTTCTTACTTACTAGTAATTTATTATATATTTTTTCTTCTTTATACATTCATCTCTAGGGCGTTTAGTTAGTAGTAATGTGAGATATCTGTTCTACATATATTCGGATTACCTTGCTTACGTTGGGGTAATCCTTAGATAGTCGAGTATGCGAAGACGTTGGATATTTAGGAAAGTCTCATTAGAAACTATCTTGATTTCGAAAATTCTCTTTTATCATACATCTATAAATCCCAACAAACTTTTGAAAACACCAAGGTTTCGTGTTTCAATATTATTTGTCTAGTCCCATTATAATTTATTCTTAATTCAATTAGGTTTATTTTACCGCTCAAAATGCAATGATAAAAAACAATTCTAGTTTTTATTAAATTTATTATTTAATTCTATACACTTAGTTTTTTGCATTTTAATTTTCTCAATTTTAGATTAAAAAAAAGGCATTCACATAAATAGTATAAAATTAATATGTATTTTCAAAGCATTAGAAATTAAAAAAAAAATTTACATAAAGCATCATAAATTTTATAATTTATAAGCTATATCATATTTTAATTATTTCAATTTGTTAATGTTTGATATTTATTTATTTGATTAAAAAAACTACATAGGGTATACAATGTTTGAAGAAAAATAATTGAAAGAAGTAAGTGAAGACAAAAAGATGAATAAATTACAATAATCAAATCTTCTTGGAAGAAATTGCAATTATTAACATTGCATGGAATGAAAAACTAAAAGTTCAAGGTTAGATCAAATAACCTGACTAAAATATAAAACAATGCAACACATCGACTAAAGAAAAAAAATATACCAGGTGAAAAAAAATTGAAAAAAAGAGTAAGAAATGCCTCTTTTATAGTTGTAGGAGATAAAAGTTATAAAACTTTATATATTCCAAAATTTTGAAATTTCACTACTAATTATAATTAAAAAGGACTCCTGACTTTTTTGATTAATTTATAAAAATAAAGAGATTTTTTTTTATTTTTAACTATTTTAACTCTTTATATTCTAACTAATAATTAACTCTTCATTATTTCTGTCAAAGCGCTTAACGGCATATACATCCAATTGTGAGTTCAAATCTCCTCCCAACATGATTGTACTCAAAAAAAAAAAAAAAATCTTCATTATTTCTCAATAATTAACATCTCAGTTTGATGATTCTTAAAAAAAATCTAAAAATTTAACTCTTTCATTCATAGTGGGTGTGAAAAGTTGGATAAATGATTTGAAAAAAATTAAATAAAGCATAATTGAAGTATTATTTTAAAAAATCAAATGTAATATTACTAAAACAAGATTCTTCTACATCCAGATTTTTATATAGATTATAGATTATATTATTATTTTATATAGATTATATTATTGTTATAAAAAGAGAGAGGAAGAGATAAAAAGAACTTGTGAGAGAGGAAGTGCGAGAATTTAGATGAGTGGGGATTTAAAGAGAGAGAGATTTAGTGACAGAATTGCCATCAAAGTAAAAAAGAAAATGTTTAAATTAAAAGGGTAAAATAGGGAGAGAATATTTTCCTATTATGCATTTTATATATATAGTATAGATATATCGTGAGTTAGTTTTTTTTTTAGAGATATTCATTGATATCAATATTTTATTGATATTTTCATCGATATAAGAGTTAAACATGGTTTATCAGCTCTCAATTAAGAATGAATTAAATCATCTTTGCCATTTTCTGTTTTTCAGGAATTAATTAATTAACCATTCATCGATTCAACGCTGATATTTTTTTCAAGAAAGGAGAGGTATATGTGGCTAAAAGAGAGTTGGTAATATATATATATAGGCGAATACATAAATTATTTATTGGAAAAAATGGAGAAGAGTATGGTAAAATAATTAAATGAGAGAAGATATGTGGATACTTTTATTTTAAAAAAGGAGTTAAATTTTCATTTACAACGTGAGAGAACCCTGAAATAAAAATGTACGTGAAAGTGGAGAGATTATAAAAACAAATAATAAAAAGATCAAATATGTAAAATAAAAAATTATTAAAACTACGTGATATGATATATGCAGTTAATTTTAAGAATAATATAGTTTTAAAAATAAATTACAAAAATACTACAGATTTAAAATAATAACAAAATAAATGTAATTTAAATACGATTTAAGTGCCAACACATCACATATACGAGCTGGATTGATGGATGAATAGGTTTCCCACATGGCTATTATGTCTTGCAGATGGGGAAAAACAATAATTGAAGGCATAGACCCGTATGGATTCAAAAGGAAAAAATAATGTTATGTACAACCCGTATGAATTCAAAAAAATGTTATATACAGGATCAAAAGAATCTGACTTGTCGTTTCTCGTCTTTGAGTGTTTAATTTTTACTATTCAAAATTTAGGTGTAATTTTCTTATATAATGAAATTCTAAGGGTTTAATTTTGAACGTCGAGAGTTTAATTTTTACAATTAAAAGTTTAGGACTAGGGATACCATGGTAACAAATACCATACTTAGATGATTTGTGCAATTTATCCTTAAATAAAATATAGTGTACAATGCTCCTTAATTTGACTCATGCCCCAGCTTTTGTGTCTCGGGATCGAATCACAATGTGAGCATTTATTTCTTTTCTTTTTTTCAGGTTTGTTTGAACATTTTAACCTAAATATTTGATTCCCTGATCATAAGTTGTAAAGCAGGCAGTTAAAAAATATGACTCTTTTTTTCCCAACAAAGTAATGATAGAGGGAAAATCCAAATTCTTGATGAAATTTTTAAGAAAACTATCTTTTTTTTTTTTTCCAAACACAACTAGAGATAAATATGCTTCCAAGAGTTGACATTGGAAAAGTATGAAACAATGATGATATGACGAAACTAAAAATAAATAATTAAAAAAAAATCTAGTCAGTTGATTAAGCAATGAATGAGTTTGACCTATGAATTGGCAACTCAATTATGATCCAACTAAGAAAGGTGCCAAAGATTTCATATCAGTGGTTTGTTTGGAAAAGTAAAGCTTCCTAGAGTAGCCTTTTTTAAACCATACACTTTTGGAGGGGAAAAATAAAGTATTTTCCATCCAACATAAGCCATGGAATAAATATTTTCTAATTAAAAGCTTCAACATCAAAAAAAAAATATCAAGGAAATGCTAATCAACTAGAATGATATATAATGTCAATTTACAGGTTTACAAATTACCAGGGATTCTAAGCTTTTGGGTCTTCTGCAATATGATCGGGAGTCGGTCGCAGATGACGCTGGGATCGTTGTAGGCAGCAGAATCAGTTGGGTATCCTTTCTGCATCATTTAATTGATTCAGTGAATGTTGATGGATAAACATCATCAAATTGTGTAAAACAACTGAAAGTATGAGCTACTGGGCAGAGGATAATAAGACTGTCGTAGCGAGAATAACTCGGTATTATTTGTGCAACAATAACTCAATACGATACAGTATCATCTATCATGTATTCTGATTTTTTGCTTTTCTTCTCAATCCTGTCTAAATGTCTAGGTGTAATGTTAAGATTTCGACAACAAAATTGAACAAAAATAATTTTTACTGATCCTCAAACTAGTTATTCAATTAGCTTTAGATATTACAGTACATACTAATAATATACCATACATCTATTGGCCCAGTAGTTTCTTGTAACTAAATATGGGTTTGAGTCCTTAAAAGCTTGACATGAACATTACATTCCTTTCCCAGCTAATGTTTCACTAGGACTGATATTATTTTAAAAAGAAAATTTCTCAAAGGGCAATATTTCTATATTTTGAGCTGAACTTTTTTCCAAACTCAACAAGCCAACCGTTAATTTTAGCATGCAAAAGCCCATGAACTTACTGCAGAAAGAGATTGAAACGTAGCCTCTCTCCAGCAACTTTCTCGAAGGATTATCGGATTTTCACTGTTGCTAAACACGCAATGCATACGAGTGTCCCTTAGTCGCATAAGTACTCCATCAACTCTAAGCTGTACAAGCAATGTCAGAGAGGAAATCGAAGAGTAAGCCAAAGAACTAAAGTTGTACTTTCCATTGTTACCTTCAAAATTCTCTATACATTCTCTCATAAAAATGCTTAGACAATGATGAACTGGTGGAAAAAGTCTACAAATGCTTAGAAAATGTTTATTATATAAGAGTGATAACTTACCCAGAAACGTAAAAGAAGAAACCAACAACTTGGCATGACTCTCTAGAAATTCAAAACATAAAAATGTAAGTCCTTGGTGAAATCATAGTACTTTAGCAAGAACATTATTTGCATACTAGTATCATCAGAATTTGATAACTTACCACTTTAACTGTTAAAAGTGATATGCCATTGTCAGCCAACTCATCCTCATATAAGATTACCTGTTGAGTTCCAAGTACAGATTGGTCAGGGGAGGAAAAAATATACCAAGAAGTGAGGATTTAAGAAAAAATTCTAGAAGTATATACACACAATGTTTGTATATACTTTTATTTATATGGGCCTATATGTTATGCTTCCCACCTCATCATAAAAGAGGATAGGTTCCTTTAGTGAGAGTGAGACTAGATCAATTTGCTCCTTGCTGTCCTCCCAACAGAGACCATTGCTCTCTTCACATTTTTGCTCTCCTTCATGCTGATCATAAAAGAAAATACTAGTTACTGATGCAGCTGCAAAAGAGTGATTGCATCCTACAGTTGAGCAATAAAAAACCCTTGCAATCACATTAACTGTTCAAATTGAAGCTGCAAGGTCAAGGTACCAACAGAAAAGGGGACAATAAATAAGAAAATTTCAACTCAGTAAAAAGGTTAATTGGTCAGAAAGTGCCCAAAGCCACTCAAGAACTCGACTGAATCAGAAACCACAGCTTCAACAGGCATATAGGGCAAAAGAACGTACCTTCTCTGTACCTATTTCAATTGTTTCACTTCCACAATAAGGTGTTGTAAATGTATAATCATAATCCAATATCACCTGTTGGGAAGGTTTGCTGTAAATTCAGAGAAGTGCGTCAGACCCTACACAATGATATATATTCTATCTATCAAGTAAGAAAAACTTTCATCGGATGTTCTTTTTACCAAAATTTAGACATACCTAAGAAGCATAAATTAAATTATCCCAAAACAAAACTATCAAAGTGCTAGTAGTAAACACTTCAATCAATAACATTTATCTCTGAAAGTTAAATATATTAGTATTAATATTCAAAGGGATTAATTGGAATGCGTTAGCAACCCCTCAAAGAGATAAGTCCTCTCATCAATATTTTCTTAAGTTGATCAAACTAAGACAGATAAATCAAATGGAAATCTCCTTAAACTTCACCAACCTATGAATTATAAACATTGCAAAGTATTGTATAATTATGACTTCTTGACTTAATCTATTAGTACGCCAGCCATAGAGATCAACGGGAAAACAAAATTCCTGTTACCTTCTGAATTTCCATTGCGCAGCAGCAGGAACTTCAACAGGAGGCAGAGATTCCTTTTTCCAGCCAGCTAGAGCATCAAAGGCATTGAAATGAATTTGAACTCCAGTCCTCATATGTTTGAGAGCTAACAAACTGTCACCGAACACCATCTCTGGCAAGTGAGATGTCTGAAGTTTCTGTTCCCATCTACAAGCAGATTGAATGCCATTATTCAAAGTGCAATTGCTACTCCATATATTTGTGATTCTTGTGTGTGCATGTCTATGTTCATCTCGATTGAAACCACAACAGATAACAGCAGTCAGTTCTCTAATAATTAGGACGAATACAAATCATCAGCTTTTAGCAACTACTGAAAGAACATCTAACAATTTGTCCGCCCTCTGTTTCCATCTCCTATATAACTCAAAAGTTAAAACCAATTACCATATCCCCCTTGATTTATACCGCTGACCTAGAAATAGTATGAGAAGTTCATTGATGGTCAAAAACAACAGAACATCATTTTAAGCCAAACCCTACAAAAATAGTAGTTCAAAATAATGCTCTGCAAAGTATAGAACATGGAAAGAAATTTGTGGCAATTAAAACCAACTTGGATTGAAGTATAAGATAAAGAATCAAGGCCTAGAATTTAAAGTAACAAAATCAGTAGTCAACAAACAGTCATATGCCCATCATTTACATATAAACCCATGCCCAGAAATTAAAATTGAAGCACAATTAATGCTAGAAATGCATTTGAACGGCAGTGGTATCAAGCAAATATTATAACGAAAAGGGCAATTCAATAAAAACGAAAACATAAGAGTGGTTTGGAAGCGCGATGTAAAATCAATTTCCAAAGCTTTCGTGGAAGTAGAAAAGTATGATTTAGAACGAACGACAAGTTTATTGCAAAAGTCAGTAACATGTATGAAAGAGAGAGGGAGAGGTAAAGAGAGTACTGCTCGAAATTGGAGGAGGTAAGAATGGAGCGCTTGAGAGTCTCGATCTCCCAACCATGTATACGGAGACCTCGCCGTCCGTCAGTAAGGAGCTCAGCTCCAGCGGCTTTCAATTCCTTTTCCTCCGGTTCAACCTCCATTACGAGACGCAATCGGGCGATGGCAGAGGATCGAGCTGCTGTTTCTTCCTCTTCCTTGCTCCGCGGTTCGGCCACTGTACCAGTTTTTGACGAAACAAAGCCGAGTTCCTCTTCTCGAGTGCTTGGACTTGGAGTCGGAGCATACAATGGATCGGCGGACTCGGGTCCGGGTCCGGGTCAACCTTAGGGCTTAAGCTTCCATCACCCATGTTTTTTTTTTTTTTTTAAGGTATGATCCATGTCTACTTGAACAGGAATTTAGGGGAAAAAAATCAAAATACCATTTTTGTTGTTGTTTTCTTAATATTATGTCGCATAAATAAGTGCGGAGACTTGAACCTACCTCCCGTGATAGAAGGAAATAAATATAGGTTCAATTGAACTATAAATAAAAAGATTAAATTCACTAGTATTGATCCACTTATATAATATTATTTAATTTTAGTTTGGTGGTATGTTTCAAACTTCTATAATATTATTTAATCTCAATTTATAGTGATAATTACTTGTTGGACATTTAAATTTTTAAATTTGATGGTAATTTAATTCGTATATCTTCAAATAAATACTTAAGATATTATTGTTTAAAAATTAATTTTAAAGCGATTAAAACCCATGCTCAATAAAAGTGAAAAAAAAAAACCCTAAAACTAAACGATCTCTAATTTTTTTGATTTTTTTTAATTTACTCAATTTTTCTAGATTTTCAATTCTACCCGCAATATATTAAAAAGATGATCAATTAAGATATTCCATTAAAAATATGTTAAATTTTATTTATAGAAAGTGGTGTGACATTAAAATATTATTTTTATTATTATATTTAAATGTGTAAGCATACCACTTGATTTTGTTGGTGGGTGAATTGAGTTTGATGTACTTGGTAATCCAAATAACATTTCCATATATCTAAATATCTTAGTAAAATAAATGATGCATCTTGTTAACAAATTTCAATAATTTTTATAGAATTATTTAATTGAAAATTTTTTATTCTTCAAGACTAAAATTGAGATTTTTTTCTCAAAAAAAAAAATAAAAAAGAGTAAATTTAAGAATTTTAAAAAATTAAAAATCGAATTAAAAATTAGCTAAAAAATTAGAGACCATTTAATATATTTAAACTTTTTTTAGTGGTCAGATTTTCGGTGGCAAGGTGACAAAAAAACGGCAATGCACCAAATGAATTCAGAAAATCTTTACGTTTTCCTTTTCATTTTTATAATTAAATTAGGACGAGAGATGATATTTTATATGTTGTTAAGTAGAATTGAATAATTACTCAAGAAAATTATTAATGAGTATACTTGTGTAAGAAAAATTACCAAACTATTTTTAGCATTTTCTTGTTAAAAAAAAAGTAATTGAAGATAAACATTTTAAAAAAAATACAACTCTTGAATTTTTCGGCTTGAGCAATTGTTCTATAAAATTCATGAAATCATTATAATTATGTTTTGTTGATGTAATTTTGACAATAGTACCTAAAAAATATATGAATTATCCATTTCAGTTAAACTCTCAAACTATAGTTATTTCTATAAATTAAAAAAAACTGCAAAAATTGTTAAAATCAAACCCCTCAAAATATAAAATTCTTATTTTGACAATAAAAAAGACCCCCGAATCCTTATTGTGCTATTTTTTAAGACAATTCTGATTGTATTAATGCCACAACAGTCCCATCATGAATTCATCTACCACCAATATAAATCGCCTCCAAATAAGTATAATTCGATAGTAATTGTTATATACCTCGAATCAAAAGATTGTAAATTCAATCTTACATCCAACTTATCATACTAAGAAAAAATAAGGTCGATGTGAACTGATATTTCTATAAATGTTAAAAATATTAAAATTAACAAATAAAAATTATTGTATTTTTATTGAATTTAAAATGATTAATATTATTATTATGTATATATTAATAATATTTTGTTGATATTTTCATACGATAAAAATATCAATTTATCTCTCATATCGATGTCAAATTCTATGGATACACAAAAATATCGATGGACATGTCGATATGCAAGTGAATATTTAATATCATATTTTAAACTCACAGAAAAAAAATTGCATTCACATTCACAACTATAATCCATTATTCTGTGTGGTGTTCAATGTTAACCCCACCATATTTTACCGTACACAAATGTATGGTTTGTACAATTTTATGGCACTTAATTACGTTGGGAGAAACAAAGGGAAAAAAATGTGAGTCACGGAGATTCGAAACTCTCACCTCTACACGTGTTGACAAAAACGAACCAACCAAAAAAAACAGGTTAAAGCCTTTGATTCAATTGCATTCTATTCTAACAATGAAGAGACAAGGCTACAATGGAGGAAGAAAAAAAGCTATCTTTCATTTAACAAGTAATTAATTCTCATTATTTGTGCATGGTTACTGTGCATATCATGCTAAAATAATAAAAAAAAATAATAAAAAAAGAAAAAAAAGTGTCTAAGCTTCAGAGCATTGAACAGTTAAGCTTGTAAGAACCTGTTGAATGCTTGCTTATCAATGTCCTCAAAATAATGTGCCGGAATTTCTGAGGGAGAAGATAATGCAGCCACACACTTAAACTGTAAAACGAAAATAAGTTGCATTAGGATGTTATTAAATCACTGCTAAAAACAAAAGCCAGCAGATTAGTTAAGTATGTTTTTTTAGTACAATAAATTGGGGTAGGAGGGTTTGAAATTCCAACTTCAAAGGGAGGAGTATATATCAATTACCGTTGAGTTATGCTTATAATAGCCAACGACTGGTTAAGTATATTATTCTAGAGTTCAAACACAATCAACCGCTTAAGTTTATGGGTTACAATATATTTAATCTTTTATATATACCTTAAAACTCTCTCACTCAAAGGTTAGGAAAGGAAATTTGCACAAGACCCAACAAGTAGTAATCGATATTAAACAATTATAGAAGTTCAAACGGGATACATGTTAAGTCACTGGTTAACTCAAAAACTGAGTTAGGATAAATTTGATCTTTTTTTGGATAGCTTTAAAACGTGACACCTCAGAAAATTCAGAAAAAGAACTAATGAAATATTACTAAAGCATTGTACCTTGTGTTGCTTGTACTTGGTTCTTATTGCTTGTAAAGAGCTTCCTTTCCTATTTAACTGCAAGTCATGAATGGCAAGAATGCAGTCCTTCAATTCAGATGGCTTGTAACCAGAGTAACGTTGCAGTGCTAAACACTGAAAAATGTGAGTAAGCAGCAACGTTAGTTATCACTTGAAAAAACCAATATTATTATGATGAAGAAGTTACTATTAAACTTTTTTTTTTCTCGGAGCTTTGTCAACTACATCTAAGTGCACCTGAACTCGCACCCACCCAAGGACCAGATCCAAGAGACATCAAGAGTTTTTTATGTTAATTTACGAAAAAGTTCGAACTCGAGACCTCTAAACCAGTATGAATAAGAGACCCTGAGTCCTTGCCAACTGGGTTAGCTTGGGGCTTCCAAACACAATTAAACTACATAATAAACGGGTTATTAAACAGACTACAAACATAACACTTACCCAGGGATGTTTCTCTGGTTGGATAGTTAATCTAGAAAGGAAAATAGCCGATGCAGCGACTATTGATGGTAAGGATTGTGCGCAACGGTGATCTAACAAGCTTAGCTCCGCAAGATAACAACTTAAGAACTCAAATTGCATGTCTGGAGCCTGCAGGTGGAGTTAAATCTTCAGAATCAAATAACGAAAGGAGGAAGAACAAGCGAAAGATGTCGTTAATGGACTCACCTTCCAATTTTCCAAAGCAACTCTTGTAAATATTCTGTAAGATGGGAACCATGAGTTAATCGCATATAGAGATGAGAAGAAATATGGGTCTTTAGGAACTGAATGCACAACAGATGAACATCATTCTTGCCTGAGAAAATTTTTTATCGTGGGGGCACCTTCATGGCACAAGAATTTGCGTACCTCTCTCTCCATACTCAGTACCTGCACGTTAAACAAAACCAAATGAGATCCTTCATCAGCTGCCATGGCCGATCAATTCACGCATTAGTCGTATAAATATCATCAGAAAATATGGGGATTCCAGCATAAGAATCAGAATTAACAGCTGACTCTGGTTAAAGAAAATTTACTCAAAAGAGTTATGTAGGGGACTAGAATATGAAGTCTCGATTTATATTTTGGAAAAAATTATGAAAATCAACCCATCAAATGTGAATGCAAGGCATATTAGAAATATCGATTAATCTCTAATATCAAATCAAAATTTCAACTTATGGAAAGAGAAAAACACATCTTAAGACAGAGAAATGAGTAAGTGGGCACCTGTTCTGTGATATATGTATTATCTGTTATGTAACAGAAATCTTCAACATGTGGAGGACTAATTTCTTCATACTTTCTGCAGCACCAAATCACAATAGCAATAAGAATACCATAAATTTGGCCAAATAAAATAAGTAAGTTCTCAGTAAGTACGATGCAATAAGCATGCAACAAACGCCAAGAAGCTGTAGCTTGTTTCTGTCAACAGCATGCGAGGATAGGTATCTGTCAATATATGAAATGGTGAGATATATGGTGTCCGATACAAGCTTGTATTCCTCAGCAACCTCCACTAACCAATCCACAAGAATTTCTCGCATACGGTTGAAAGTGAAACTGGAATCACTGTTTTGAGCCTTTTCGATATTATTGGGCGGTATCTTTGGTTGTAATTCCATCTGATTCACAAAAGGAAATAACCAGTTGGATCAAATAGTGTTGAAACAATTAAATTTGTGAAAATCGTTCGAAGAAACTGTCAGGCATGAATACGAACCTACATGATGGTATTTTTATGTATAGATGCATTTCAGAAAATGTTTCTGATCCGAAGAATCAAATCGAGAATAATATAGTGTTTCGAAACATTGGCTATGAATCTATGATAATTTTGGAACTCACGAGAAATGCCGCCCAACCAAATCGCCGAAGCAACAATCGCAAAAAAATTAAACAATATCGATAGCAGGAAATCTCAATTTCCAGATTATTAATATAATCATAAACGAACGAGATGACGAGGAAAACACGAAACTGCACGAAGAAAAATAATCGCAATCCTCAGTTCATACAACCACTTCACTTCACTTCACTTCACACAGTATCTCGATAATCGATAACTAAAATCAAGGCGCAGGAGCATAAATCCGTACCTCCATTGAACGAAGATGGTTATAGAGGCTAGATGCAGAAGAAGCAGACTTCTTCGAGTCAACAGCCCTTCCTTGGGGGAGTTCCAGGCCCTGTTTCTCCTCCGCCATATCTTGGTCAGAAACCGAGCACTGACTGGAACGGAAGATCAACGAGTTGGTGATGTCGCCAAGGACGGCTCTCTTGTTAGCCGTGGCCAGTTGCAGAGACTGCTCCTCCGCGTCCCGCTTCTTCGACTTTCGTACGGAGGGCTTCTGATACTCCGGCGCATCCATGGGAAACGGGGAGAGTCCGATTCCGAGCGATGGGGAGAAGAAGGAAGTTGCTGAGTTTGGCGATGGCAAACGAGGGAGAAGAGAGAATCTGAGAATCCATTGGTGAAATATAGAGGGGAGAGAGGGAGAAATTGAAATGCCGCCATTTTCATGAATTTCAAATCCATTTGTTGCCGCTTCCTCGCGATCAAGCGGCAACCTCGCGGTTGTCGATCATCGCGAAAAATTAGATACTTCAAATAAAAAAATAAAAGTGCGCCGTATCATATTTTTAATGTAAAATAATCGGGTGAATAAAGTTTGGTTGGTCCCGTCCGTCCAATAACAATTTTGATTTTGATTTTTTTTTATGAGAAATTCTATCTGTAGAATTTTTATTTTTTTGGGTTATTTGACATTAATAAATCTTAACTTCCAATAGGTATCTAAATTTTGTATCTAATGAATTTTCGAATTGTTCTCGACCTATTTGACATGTTTTTAAATTTCACAAATCTATCAGATTCTAATTTTAAATTGTACCATATTAGATTTAAATTTAAATTTTATGTCTAATATATTTGTTAATTTTAAAAAATATTAAAGACCTAATAACACAAAATTAAAAGAAATTTAAATCTTATTAGACACAAAATTAAAAGTTTAAAGACTTTCTATAAACTTTTTATAACATATATATATATATATATATTTATTTATTTATTTATTTATTTATTTTTGCATTAAGCACTTTTTACAATTGCAATGATCTATTAGACACAAACATAATATTTTTAGATATCTATTTTTGTTTTAAAGTTTTGGTTCGCTTAAAAATCGAAAAATCTAAACAATAGATATACTATGATGGGTATGGGATTGGTGATATAAAAACATAAATCTAAAAACAATAGATTCAATGAAACATATAGTTATCTTTCATGTTTTCGTATTTTTTAATATGTATTTTGTAGCATATTTGAAAATTGAATATCATATTCAAAATTGTTCAAATTTTGTTAAGTAATATATGTGTAAACTAAGGTTATCAATTAATTCTTAAGTTCAATCTAAAATATTATTTATTAATTTATTAACATATATGTTATAAATTTTGTATAATTATTATTTCATAATATTATATAATTTGTAATATATTATGTTGTTTATTTTTTTAAATAATATGTTTAATGTAATTCTTTCTTTTAAAATTTTTCAAAATTTACATTAATTGTATACCATAATAAAAAAAACAATTAAAAAAAAGATCTAGCTAACACATATTTACTTAAATGTAAATCTAAAAACATTAATCCATTGATTTAGTGAATCTGAAGAGAACAAGTATTAAACAATAAACATAATTCCATATTACATGCTAGAGTCGGTTTGGTAACTTTATTGTTTTTATTCGAAGACTTAGGTATTTGTTAGAAACATTATTAATATCACATAGAAATTTTGAAAAAAAAAATTTATTTATTGTTTATTGTTACCATTTCTAATAAAATCAAATTTTAGAAGGAAAAAACATAAATAATTACCAAATACAATTAATGTTAGTAAATGAGCCTTTTAACAATTAACTTCCACTGTGTGGGTATATATATTTTTTTAATCGAACACAACAATAACTCTAAGATTATCATCAAAATGAACATAGTTCAACTGTAATTGGTTTATATCTCCAACCAATGGTTGTGAGTTCAATCTCACCCCATATATTTTGTTTTAAGTAGGCTTGCATTAATTGATAACTGCCACAAGGGCTTTCACAAGACCATGCTTTGCGAGAAGATCAGCTGCTCGACTGCTTTCTCTACGCACATGCATGTACGAACAAGCTTCAAAAGACGAAGAAGTCGACTGAATATCGTGAAGAATTACAAGCGCATGTTCATTTGTTTTGAGATCTCCATTGATCAGAGGGATGGCTGTGAGGGAGTCTGGTTGCTAAGGAAAGGTAAGAAATGGACACCCGACCACTGCAATGGATCCGAAAGAGTTGCGCAACATGAATCCTAACCCAGTTGAAAGCATGCTACCACCATAGGCCGCATCTGTGTTGAGTTTGAGACCACTGCTCGAAGGGGTCCAAGATGGCTACGTCTCCCGACGCTCAACAAGTCGTTTGGGAAGATCATTGGCCTCGTGGAAAGAAGCCTAATATGAGGTAATCCATTCGCTCTTTCCTTAAACATTCAGAATGGGTCTCTGATTATTAATGTGATTTATGCCATTCCAAATGACCCAACAATGCTGCAATTTCAATCTTTGAGTTACTAAGAATAGTTTGTCAATGTCATAAAGGTCACGGAATAAGACATTTCAATGCTGAGGTAGAGGGGCAGAGGGAAGAACCATGTACCAGATTTGCTGAGCTCGAGGACAGGCAAAGAGCATGAGTAGTGGATTCCACCTGAAATCGACAACATGGACAAAAAGGTGAGACATCTAAGTCTCTCCTACTCAAATTTAATGTTGCTGGAATGAAATTATGCGCTGATCTCCATAGAAATGTTCGAATTTTTAATGAGATGTTAAGATTCCAAATGTTTGGCCAAAATTTGCTTATGATAGTAGAACTATTTGTATCAGTAATGGTCTTAAGATTCATATAAAGCTTGTATGCACTCTTGACACTAAAATAGACCCTTCTTGTCGTAATGCCATAGTTCCCACCCCACATGTTGTACTAAAAAAAATTGTGATGTTTAAAGTTTTTTTTTTTTTTTTCAAATCTTAAATGTTTTAAATAACCAAAAGCAAAAAACTGAAGTATAGTTTTGAAAATGAGTGTTTGTAGGTAGGGAGTGAGTGAGTTGTTTTATCCATATCAAATGCAACAAAATACTTTTGGAAACTTTTTTTTTAATATATTTTTGGCTAAATTTTTAAAGATGGCTTCAAAAGTGTTAAAATTTAATTGAATATATGTTGTAGATGCGGTGGAAATTACAATGTTTTGAAGCATATTTCGTCTCTAGCTAGGTTGAATCGAGATTCCTCTCCTAAGTCCTACTTCAAGGGAAAAAAAAGTTTCGTCTATTGTAACTTATAACGATATTACACCAATCTACTACTTTAATAGATTAAATCAAAAGAGATGACACTATCATACAATACATATATTAAATGCATATATTATTGGAAGGTAAAATTACTATACCGAATTCATCATAAAGTGAAGCTAAAGAAGCACATGAGTCAAACCATCTCACCCAAACTAACCAGCTTGGACCAATGACCCGACCCAATCAATTAGATAAACACGTGTACCTTTTTATTACATATTATGAGTTAGAATCATCACCTATTCATTTACGATATAATATTAAAAAATATATGTGATTATGTTTGTTTTTAACTATCCATCTTTCAATTTTTAAAATATTTATTCTAGGCAATATTCTTTAAACCAAAAAATATATGTGATTATGATTTATCTATTATATGTTAATCTCGTATGTTGTATACAAGTTACGATAAACCATACGTGATTTAGGGTTTTTTTTTTCTTTTAAAGAACAAATCATTGTCTATAATCCCGATATATGTATCCAATTATATTCATTAAAAGATAAGCGATCTAAAAAAACGAGCCCTAAATGTTTCCCGCTTACTCTCCGGTGGCCCTTAATGAGTATCATTGGATACATAAAAATTATACTATGTATACCAAACGGGCCGGCACTCTCTTACTTTCTATATTTTTTTTTACATAGTAAAAAGTCTAAATTATGAACTTTTATGAAATATTAGTGAATTTCAAACCTAAATATATAATAAAAGTTCATAATTTTTACATTGTTTATATATATATATAGAGGTTTGAAATTCACTAATATTTCTTTATAATGTAAAAAGTATAAATTATGAATTTTAAATAAAAACTTAAAATATTATTCCGTTTTTTAGAATACTAAAAGTATTATTCTTTTAACTATATATGTGTGTCAATATTTCATATTTTTATTTTATAGATGGTTTTAAAATTCACTAAAGAAAATATGTTTTATAATGTAGATTTATTGTTAAAAATGAAAGATAAAAAACAAAGTAAAAATATACCATAGAATTGACTCGATTTTTAATTTAGTCTCTCATTCTTGTTTCTGGACAAAATATCAAGTACTTAGAGTACTCAAATAAGAGTGATTGATGAGCCTAATAGTCATTACGAAACTTGTAGATGAATCTCTAAATTTGACAAAAAGTGTTTGAGGTGACGAGCAATGACGCGTTTTGTGCTCGGATGACAAGTAATACATGCCCTATCAGGTTGAGATAGATTGATAGGAAACCTATCATTGTCGAGTAGACTGATAGGAAGAATGATGCAACTTTGTTATAAAGGAGGAGATTAAGGGTGCTATAGAACGACCCCATATGTTAATGTAGTCCGTGTAGCGAGTGTTCAGGACGTGATGGATAGAAGCAGACTCTTACCGAGAGTACGTGAATTGCATGACTATTTGAGGCAAGATACAATTAACACTTTATTCGAAGGGAATATTATTGGGGTTGTTAAGTGTGCAAATAAAGTTTCACATTAGTCAGTGAAGATAGATGCGAACAATATCTCTAGAGATATTTTAGGTGAAACCAAAAGCGTCGGAAGTAGATAGTATCATACAATGATATCGTCTTCTCTATTTTAGATTAGTTTTAAAACCACCATAATTCCATATTTTTCTTTTCTTTTTTTAAAATGCATTTAAAAAAATCCTTATTTCTCCCATTAAAAAAAAAAGCAAGTAAATTTCAACGGTTGAGACGCGAGGCAAGGCGAAGAGGCAGTTTGTGTGGCAGTCGTACGCTACTTCATCGTCGTTGATCTGATCTCTCTCTTAATTGTGGTTGAATTTCAATGGCGTACAGGCAGCAGCAGCCATTGTGAAGAGCGAAAGAGAGAGAGAAGTGGTTGAAGCTGTGGCTCTAATTGTCTATGGCTACCTTCTCCTCTTCTCTCTCGCTGCCTCTGCAACTCCGACCCTCATCCCGCTCTTCTTCCAAATCCCTCCCGCCTTCGCTTTCCTTTCCTCTTTCTGCTTCCGCCAAATTCACCTCCAGATTCTCAGCCCTTACTGTCTCCTCCTCCTTGGGCTCCGCTCCTGATGAATTTCATCATGTCCACCCCTCTTTTTCTTCCAAGGTCAGATTGCTTTCTTTTTAGCTAACCTCTGGAATTGGCTTCTTTTTTGTTGGGTTTAGTTTTATTCCGCTAGTTTTGGTTGGATAATTATTGAGTTGCTACTTGTTCTTTTTTCCTGATTGCCTACTGATTAAAATTTGTGGGATTAGCTCTTTTTTACTTGGTTTAAGTTATCTTCCATCGGAATAAGTTGAAGATTGGAGTATTGAGCCGTAGAACTGCATGTTTTTGTGTGCTGATAACCGTGTATACCGTACCGTAATTAAGCTTTTTGAGTTGAGTCTACCGGTTAACATGAATCTGTATTGTCTTTTGTTATATTTTCATTTCCCCCGTATTTAATATTGATTACCACTTGTTGGATTTTGTGTAAATTTTCAAGTACAAAAGCGAGACGGAGCGTTGAATATCTATAAAAGATTAAATTTACAGTAATCTATGAGTTTAAACTTTTGGGTTGATTAGAAATTTAACATTTAGTTATTTGTTGACATGTTTCTTTTTTCCTCCCAAATTTTGGTTTAAAGTTAAGCATGACGCGTTTGAGAATGACTAACTATGCAGGTACTTCGTAGTAAGAGTATTAGTTGTCCTGAGGGGTAATAGTGTTTTATATTATTCATATGAATTGGATACCATTCTGCGGAAAGCTCTTTTATTGTATATGTTCTGTTTTTATTTTTCAGAAATCAGTTCTCTCATCTTTGATACAAGAGATAGAGCCGTTAGATGTAAGCATAATTCAAAAAGATGTTCCACCCACCACTGTGGATGCTATGAAAAGGACTATCTCGGGCATGCTAGGCTTACTTCCATCTGACCAGTTTCAAGTTTTAGTTGAGGCGTTATGGGAACCAGTTTCTAAGTTGTTAGTTTCTTCAATAATGACTGGGTAAGTTGACTACTCTAATATGTATTTTTGGGCTTTCTGAGATTTCTAGAGTAGACAGGACTACTTTTTTTCACTGATAATTTGGTTTGTCTTTGTTGTAAAGTTTAAGCATATCTAACTATGTTTCACATTGTTGCATCTCTTAAGTCTTAAGGTGTATTGTTTTCTTAAATTTTTTGAAAGCATCATAGCTATTAATAAGGCTGTTTCAGTGGCCTCATTTCGGCTGCTAATCCATCCATAAAGAATGTGATATTTACTTCTTTTTAGTTCCACTGCATATTAGCATATCTTGATGGTATTTGTTCTTTGTGGATTTTTTCAGGTACACATTGCGTAATGCTGAATATAGACTCTGCCTTGAAATGAATCTTGACTTTGATGATGGAAATAATGACAAACAAACAGATGATAATTGTAAAATTGATCTACATGAAATGTTGCTCGACAGTGCAAATTTAGCGAACCTTTCAGATGAAAATGAGTTTTCTTCAAAATTCGAGGAATCTTTGAAAGAACCATCTGGAAACATTAACATCCAAGGCATTGGTGAAACTTCTCCTGAAGTTCAACAGCACATTCGTCATTTACAGTTTCAGTTATCTTCAATTAAAAAGGTACAGTCTTAGTAAGTTTGGTAACTCTCTCTACTTTATTTTAAATGTGATAATTATTATTACGATGTGTTATCAGATACTGTTTTTGGTCAAATTACTCATATTATCCATTAATTATGGGGATCACTGAAAATGTATTTGGCTATTTGCAACTGGCACATCCATGATCCAACTATTCTGTTCAAATGAGTGAAACCTGTATAGCTTATAGAGTTGTAAACTAATTCCACTCATCAACTTCTTTGTTGAGAAAATGGAAGAATTGTTTTTAGCTGTGATGTTACGTTTTTGAATCATGGTTCTCATTCTGACTCCTGATCTCTTTAATATGTTTTTTTAACTAACTTTACATTGTGGACTATCCCGTTTGTATATCTTGGAACTTTGTATCTCCCATTTCCATTATTGTTTCTTATATTCCCGTGTTAATTTGTTGAAGGAACTCCATGAGGTCAAGAGGAAAAGTGCAGCTCTTCAGATGCAACAGTTTGTTGGTGAGGAGAAGAATGATCTGTTGGACTATCTGAGGTCGCTACAGCCAGAAAAGGTGTGTTGATTTTTCCAATATAATCAAACTCTGGTTGTCAATTTAAGATTTTTTAGATGATGTGTGCAGTCCACTATATCTTATTTGTTCAGACACGTGCACAACTTTGTAATATTGGTTAGGCTTCATCTTTGTTCAAGTTAATGTAGGGAATTAATGGCCAGTTTTTGTACTTCATTAGTTCTTCGTTAGAACCACCCTGGATCAAATAGCTTGCTATTTCTATTTGCATGTTATTGACATTTTGAATTAGAAAAATTAGGTTACTTATATGAAGCTATCTCTATACATTTTTATTTTATCAAGGGCTGTGCAAGAAAACCTTTGCTTACCCTGCATATTGTTACAACACTTACTAGAAGATGCAGTAAGGCATGGCTCGGATTCTTGGATAAATCGAATAGAAGCGTTCAAGATTATAATGACCATGCTACATGCAAAGAGATTAATCAATAGAAGCAAAAGTATTTGCTATTGCAGAACAACATGCTGAGGACTAGGCTGATTAGATACCAGACCAACACTTATGATGGGGTCAATAGTCTTCGAGGTTGGACTAGACAGTGACCTTGAGCTCTTGCTTCCCCAATTCCATGCTTAATATTTTTCTTCTAACTTGTGTCATGGGTGTATAGGTAGGTCATAGGGTTGGCTTTTGGTTGAACTGTTGGACACGGTAATGCAACTTATCAGGTTACAAATAACACAACATGATTTTTGTTGATTTTTCTACACTTTATAGAGCATTGTCGGGGAGGGGTGAGCATGCATGAGATTATGGATCATGTTTGTGTTTTGTTTCATGATGATGTTCTCTTAGCTTACTTGAATTATATATGATGAACAGGTGGCTGAGCTGTCTGAACCTACATCCCCTGATCTAAAAGAAGCCATCCATTCTGTTGTCCATGGACTTCTTGCAACCCTTTCTCTGAAAATCCATTCCAAAGTTCCTTCTCAATCAGAAAATATTGGAACCGGAATGACAAACGTTGGTAATGAAGATTGTGCCGAACTTGTTGAGAATACTTCACTCAATTTCCAGCCCCATTTAACATTAACACGAGACTATCTGGCTCGTCTACTTTTCTGGTTAGGCAACTTCTCCTTTTCTCCTTTTCTTCTTTTTCATTGTGTGGAATGCAAATGATGTACCAGTAATCAAATTAACTGCACTAGGTACTTAATTTGACTAGTTTCATTAAGATAATTGGCAGAGCGAAAATCTACATTGAGCTATTATTATTATTATTATTTGTTTTTTCTCTTTTTTGTGAAAGCCAAAATGGTGATGGATTTTGCAAAGTTCTGCTTTTTATGTAGTTATCTTGTTTCTTTTCTGTACTCCTCAGAAACCCTTTGCCGCGCCTGGGGGGAAGGGGATTTGTCCAGAATAGTCCTTTTGTGATTTGAAAATTCCCTACCGACGTTAATTTATTATGCTTTTAACTATATTTGAATTTAAGGCATGTTTGAGAGTAATTTTGGCATAAGCTAAAATCACTTTTGCCATTTTCTAAATCCACTTGCATATCATCAAACATTACAACATGTTTGGGAGTGATTTTGGTACGACCAAAATTACTTTTGTCATTGTCAAAATTACTTTCATTTTTAAATAGTAATGTTTGAGAATGATAGGCGCGATTCTATGAAATGACAGAAGTGATTTTAGTTAGTATTTACATGAAATACGACACTTGACAAGTTGTGCATTAGAACAAGCTTCAGATTCTGCCATTTGCTGGAACTTAATATTGAAGTGATTATGTTTGAAGGTGCATGCTGCTGGGGCACTACCTGAGAGGCCTGGAATACAGAATGGAGCTGATGAATCTTCTCTCCCTTTCAAGCAATGTTGAAAATGCAGCATGATAATTCAAAATGTTGAGGGTGACACAGTTTCAATGGAGGTTTCATGTTTTCTGGAAGTATATATACACAGCTTCAGTGGTTGGCTTTCAACTTTCAAGTAAAGGTGATTATTCTTTTTCCCTTTTTTGGTTTTATTTTCCTAGTGAAGATAGAAATTAGTTTTCCTTTTCTAGAGTTTTGGTTATTTTTCTGAGGACAAATACTGTGGTCAACTATTGTGGTTCTATAGTTAGTAACTTAGTAGTGACTCCATAGATAAATTCTAATTAATAAAGGTTTCTATTTTAATCTCATTGTTACGTATCTAACTATATGATTTCTTAGCAGTGTTTGTTCTGCTCGAAGTTAAGAAGTCAAATTTATGTTTACTACATAGATTTACATGAATCTTAGCTTATGAAATTCAAATTGTATACCATATATTAACCTTTACAAACTGACAATTCAATAAGCTTCTTCTTGGGAAATTGACAAAGCTTTAGCCCATTGTTTATCTTGGTTAAAAAATACATATTACTTTCACTAAGTAACAATTTAGTCCCTGAACCTTAACTTATAACGATTTAGTCCATGTAGTTTAAAATTTGTAACAATTTAGTTCCTATCGTAAAAAAATTTATTAAAATTAAGTGTCAGAACTTTCATATAACAATTTAACCTTTCTAATTCATAAATATATTTGATCCCTCTTTAGTTTATCAATCTATACATGCAAGAAACTTAACAAAAAAAAATTTCACGATAAGGACTAAAGAGTTACCAACTTTAAATTCAAGGACTAAATTGTTATATATTAAAGTTTAGGGACTAAATTGTTACTAATTTGAAAGTATAGGGACTAACTCGTTACCAATTAAAGTTTTGTGACTAAATTGTTACCCATTAAAGTTTTGTGACTAAATTGTTACTTTAGCGAACCTACAGGGACTAAAAGTATTTTTTTTTTAACCTACAAATTTACTGACATGTCAGAAAAAGTGAAGCAATTCTTCACATTTTAACTTAAAAAAGTGATTAGTGACCCAATAGGGTAGTTCAAACTTTTATGCCCTCATTTATTTTGATTTGTCAAAGTTAATCACAGCCATGGTTAGTGAGATACTTCGGACGCCCATCAGCTTTGAATGTAAATAAAAAGAAATATAGGCAAAAACTAATTAATGATAAAGTTTTTTTTGTCTTAATTATACTAAATAATTTATTTTCAATTCAAGCGAAGTATTGAAATATTTTTAATCAATATATTGAATTTAGGTTGATGGCTATGACATTAGTAATTTTACTTACAAGTTGGAGGTTCAAAGACATCTTACTCCAAATTTCAAACAAATTTTGCCGTGTGAACTTGGATTAGTATTAGGTCTCGTTTACTTATGAGAAAACGAAATGGGGAAGAATTGAAATGAAAATCAATTGGAATGTGAACGTTATTATTTTTTATGTTGTTTACCAGAAATTTTACACAAGGTATAAAATTGTCTGGAATCGAAATATGAATGAAATAAATAACAATTACTAATATATCACATTCTTATTTATGGTGAATTACAAATATATTATTATGTTAATATTTTTTTAGTTAAAATAATAATAAATTTTATTAGAATAATAATATTAACAAAAAATAAAATAATCAAAATAAACTACATCAAATTAGAACCACCTTCATTTAATATAAAATATTATTAAATGTTATTATTATAATATTCAATAATAATAATTAATTAAATTGAAATTTATAATATTTCATAATAAAATAACATAAAAGTTGTATAAAATTTTATGAGAAAAAAATTTATTAGTAGTATAAATAAAAATAATAATAATAAAAGTTGTGTATATATATATATTTAATTTTATGGTTTCGGTTCGGTTCGGATTGAACCACCAAAATGTTATTAAACCCGCGAACCAAACCAAAATTTCAGTTCTCAAAAATTTTAACTCAATCCAACCCGAAAACTTTTTTAACCCAACCCAACCCAACTCAACCCTTATGGTTTGAGTTGGATTGTCCGGGTTGTCCAGGTCACCGGGCTTTTTGAACACCCCTAGGAGAGAGTCCCTCAAGATGGTACTTTTTTGGATTCACTAACTTTTGTTCGATTTCTATTGTTTGACCAGATACTTGTATGGACTTTTGGATTCTGAGTTCATTTTAATATTCATAGGTTTTATATGGATAACTAAAGAAATATCCTACCAGATAGCTCCTTATCTTTTCAATGAGTACACGACTAGGGATGAAAGTAATATTAGAAATCCTCCTTTGACTCAGCATGGACATATTATATATACCTGTTGGGCCAACTTGGAGCTGCGTTTATGCGCTCGTTAAGTGTTCGATGATATGCCTCAGAACCCACAACGCAAATGGCTAATGCCAACTCTCCGCTCTCTGTCGATTGATCCTGAATCCCACAGCCTCTCCGATCTCCTCCAGGGCCGCATTTCCAATTCTCATCTCCGCCAAATCCATGCCCGAATCTTCCGTCTTCAGAAGCATCAACACAATCTAATCGCAACTCGTCTTATCGGCCACTACCCACCTTCCCTCGGAATCAGAGTTTTCAGTCATCTCCATCGCCCCAATATATTCCCTTGCAACGCCATCATCAGAGTACTTGCTGAAGGGAATTGTTCGTTCCAAGCCTTTTCCATCTTCAAGTCCCTGAAACAGCTCTCCCTTCTCCCCAATGACTTCACTTTTTCTTTCCTTCTCAAGGCGTTTCACCGTTCCGGCAATGCCCCGATTGTGAAACAAATTCATGCCCACCTCCTGATAATGGGTTACTTGGGTGATTCTTTCATCTCCAATGGCCTTCTTGGAGTCTACGCGAAGGGTCTGAAGGATATGGGTTCTGCTCATAAGGTGTTCGATGAAATGTCTGATAGAGAGATGGGTTGTTGCTGGACTTCTTTGATTGCTGGCTATGCACAGACGGGTCTTGCTGAGAAGGCCCTGCTGGTTTTTGTGACGATGATTAGAGAACGTATGCATCCGGATGATGATGCCATGGTTAGTGTTCTATCTGCTTGTTCGAAGTTTCGAGTTGCTGAAGTTGAGAAATGGATTGCAGAATTGGAACAATTTGTTAATGAATTTGATACCAACAGCTCTTGTTGTGATTCGATCAATACTGTTCTCGTTTATCTATATGGGAAGTGGGGGAAGATTGAGAAGAGTGAAGAAAAGTTTAACCAAATTGTTGATAAGAGAAGTGTGCTTGTTTGGAATTCAATGATAAATGCATATTTTCAGAATGGTTGTCCTGCGCAAGCCTTGACCCTTTTCCGTCAGATGGTTGAGATTTCCCATTGCAGACCAAACCATGTCACAATGGTCACGGTCCTTTCGGCTTGTGCTCAAATCGGCGATCTGCAGCTCGGTCGTTCGGTTCATGAAGCTATAGAACAAGGTGGACGTAGTGGTATAATTGCATCAAACAGAATGTTGGCCACTGCATTGATTGATATGTATTGTAAATGTGGGAGCTTGGAGAGGGCCAAGGAAGTTTTTGATCAACTATCCACCAAAGATGTAATCTCCTTCAACGCCATGATCATGGGCCTTGCAGTTAATGGCAAAGGCGATGAGGCATTGAAGCTTTTCGCCCTAATGCAAGAGTTCGACACAAGACCGACTGCTGGAACATTTATTGGCTTATTATGTGCTTGCAGCCACTCTGGCTTTTTACAACAAGGGCGTCAAATTTTCAACAAAATGACCACACACTATTCCGTATCTCCTAGTTTAGAACATTATGCTTGTTACATCGATCTTCTTGCTCGGGCAAGCCTCTTCGAAGATGCTCTTGAAGTTGTTTCGAAAATGCCTTTCGAACCTAATAACTTTGTGTGGAGTTCTCTACTAAGAGGTTGCCTACTCCATTCTAGATTTGACTTGGCTCAGTATGTTTCCAAAAAGCTTGTACAAGTGGATCCTGAAAACTCTGCTGGCTATGTAATGCAAGCTAATTCATTTGCTACTGATCTTCAATGGGATGATGCATCAGCTCTGAGATGGTTTATGAGAGAAAAGGGTGTTCATAAGCAGCCAGGCCAGAGTTGGATCAGTATAGATGGAATTGTACATGAATTTCTCTCGGCATCCCGATTGCATCCGTACGTCGATCGATTGTATAATATGTTGAACGAGCTAGAAAAACAAATGAAGTTAGCAATCCCATAGAGCAAAGCTCACAACTCACAAGGGGTGTAAAATCAAAATGCATTTTCTCTGTAACATTTACCCTCTTTGGCTATTAGATAAGTTAAATTGTGTACATGCCATAGGAAAATTTGATTGCTTTGTTCTAGTAATAATTATTATTATTTAACTTATTGAATTATTACACGTATCTAAATCTAAGTTCCAAGTGTAAAAATTGAATATTTTTTTTAATGTTTGTTAAATTTAAATCGTGTATTGACTTAATCTAATTGACTTTTACTTACGAATTTAATCCGAGGAAGTAATATTCTTAATCTAATTTAATTTTACTTTAATTTAAATATGTCATTCACCCAAAACTGAAATATTATACATTTAAATCAAAATGATATAACATAAGCAAGGTGTGCGTAATTTATTAGTAAGGTTTTTTTTAATAAGGAGTTATTTACTAGTTAATTATTTAATACATTATTTGATTCTAATTATTTTTAAATATAAACATAAAACGAAAGAAAAAGATAATTGATGAATATAGAATCCATCAATTCTAGAAATAGTCTACGGACAATGTAAAAAATGTCATTAGTAACATTAATCATCATGAAAATTCAAGAAATAGTTTTCTCGTATATATATATATATATATACTATGATATCCTATAAACATTTAATTAAGTTTTTTCCTATTTATTTAGTTATTAAATCTGCTTAAATTTTATATATTTCAAAGATGATCATAATTTTAAAGTTTTTTTTAATGAAATAATAACAATTTTTTTTGAAGCAACATAATAATAACAATTTTAACTCTTCACTTGAATTTTCAACCGATGTTAATCGAGAATTTGAGTTTTATAGAGACAATGCAATTGCTGATTTTAATAGATTCAAACTTTTGAGAAAGATTGAAATTAGATTAAACTCTATCTATTTTTTTTAATAATTAGATTAAACTCTATCAAATTTCAAATCAAATATTAATCCTACACAAATCACAAACAAAATAAAAAAAAGGGAAATTTTGGTACTCATAAAAATTTGAAACAATGCCAAATTAATTAGATTAATTTTAATCTAAAATTTTTATGTTTAGTTTCAATTTGATTTCTATAATTTTTAAAAACTTTAACTTAATTCTTACAATTAGGTTAAATCCCATCAATTATTTTAAAAATCCTTTATAACCCACCCGAAAACCTTTTTTTTCTTTTCTTTTTAACCTTTTATTCCCTCCCTAAACTTTAATCTAAGATTAAGACAATACACAAAGATGAACACATTTCCAATTATTGTATAATTTTTTTTAAAAGTATCGTATATTTACTATAGGTAACACTTCATAACAACAAAGATAAAAAAAAAAAAGTTTAAAACTAAATTAAAAATAAGTTTGAATATTAGAGATTAATTAAATTGAAACTAAACCTTGAAGTAATATAATTAAGGACTAAATTTATAATTTAATCAATACTGAGCTTAACTAACTTAGATTTTTAACGAAAGAAACCCAACTTAGAAAATTAATACTTTATAATATCCCTCAAAGTCGAAAACAACCGATATGGAATCCTAATTGGTCTTAAAACCCTATTAAACTTAAGTTTACTAATCCTTTTCCTAATCAACTTTACATTCAAAACAAAACACTATAAATAATACAAAACTCTCAACATAATCATAATCACAAACAAATTAAAGCCTTCTCTCTGATCTCTTTCTACTTCCTTTTATCGTCTTCTTCCCTAACTTTCCAATGGAGAATCAAACACCATTCCAGCTTCCAAACTACCTTACAAATGGCAATCGAATATTTACCAATCTTAACCCTTCTTCTTCAACCTCTTCCATCCAAGCTTTGGAAGCTCAACTCGGCCGCTTACAGCTGTTGTCGTCGGTGGCAGCAGTCGACGTTTTCGATCACTCATGGCCGCCGTATTTCATGAGCAATCACGTGGATAGCCCCAACTTCTTTCAGCCTCCCATGCACAATGGTAAAATTTTATTAGGCTCTTATCTTTTCAATGTGAGATACTTTATAGATTAATTTTGGTAGGTCTCCTAATTTAAATAGATCAATTAAAACTTTCATCCATTCTATCATGTTTCCCTCTGTCATCAAGTTACTTGTCTATATCTTAAGTCGACACTGTATACATTTTGCAGGTGTACCAAATAACTTTGAAGCTGGAAGCTCGAGAATGTGGCGGTCGGGAGCGGGTGAGCCGTTCATCAGGCCGAGCAACGGAAATGTTTATGGGCATGGTAGAGGAATAAGGAGGATGGCCATGGATGGAGAAGGCTACCGAGTGGTGAAGAGAGTGATTGAAAGAGGGGATTTGAGAGAAACCCTAAACATTGTTGAAGGAGTAAAGGATTGCATTCATGAACTAATGCTTCATCCATTGGGAAACGACGTCGTACAAACTCTCTTCCGATTCTGCCATGAATATTTCATAAAGGACCTTCTTCTCTCCTTAATTGGAAAACAAGATCTCTTTCTAGCTGTTTGCCTTCACAGCCTCGGGTAAGTAAATAATAAATATATATTAAGAGGACTAGATTGAAATTTTTAAAACATTAAGGACCGTAACGTATTTTAAACTTTGCTAAAAAAATGTATAAAATTTTTATAATAATTTTTGTTGAGGATAATTAACAGAAATATAAGATTAGGTTATGTTTATATACACATTTTTTTTAGACAAGGTTATATTATATATTTAAACAAAGTTAAAAGTTTAAATTAAGAGATAATTACACTTTGAAGATCTTCTGGCATTTCAATTCTATAAATCTTATCCTTTTGTGTTTCAAAATATGGTTTAAAAGATATTTAAATTTGTCTTCATGGGATGGATTTGTATCTATTTTTCATTTAATCATTAAAGCATTTTTGAACCCTTTCCGTTATGAATTTTCAAATATTATTTTAATTTTTGCCATTTTTTTTAATAAATGAATAATGTAGTTTTTAATATGTATAGTAACGTGGTAATATTTAAGATGTACTAAAGGCACATAAGTTAGTTCAGGGGTAAATATAACAAAAATGATCAAAATTGTTTTTTAAGAGCTCTAATACCAAAATAAAATATTTTGAGTATTGAGAAACTAAAATAATTATTTTTTAAAAAAGTAAAATAAGTTTGAAATTTGAGTCACTCAAATCGATTTAAACTTAGGGTGTGGTTTTGTTTTGTTTTTACAGACAAAAAGCTGTGGTAAAATTGTTATGCCGTTTGAGCAACCCCCAACACCAGTTACTCTTTGCAGTAGTGATCAGCCACCATGGCGTCGCCTTGGCAAAAAGCTCCGGTCCCGGCCACGACGTGCTCATAAATTGCTTTCGAAATCTTTCTCGACAAGATAACGAGGTAAGAAAACTCGACTCCAAACCCTACTTTTCAGGCGCGGAGTGTCTCCCTTTTAGTCTGTCGTAATTCAAAAAGTATATATAAATCTCTGAAGATTTTGTAGTTTTTCTCAAACTAATATAGAATCTTAAAAATGTATGATAATGGTGGTAGATGATCCTCCTGGAAATAGCACATAATTCTTTGGAGCTTGCCAAAGATAAAAATGGGTGTTGTATACTCCCATTTTGCATTCTATATGCTGAAGGGACACTTCGAGGAGTGTTGGTGACTCCATTGATACAAGAAGCTCGTCATCTTTCAACACATTTTTATGCGTAATTCACCATTACTATTATGATCTCCATTTCAATACTATAAAAGATGTTGACATTCAAATAACACAAATATTTTCTATTTTGTTTCAGGAACTTTGTCATACAATTTTTGATTGAATTAGACCAAGCAAATATTGGAGCAAGAGTAATACAAGTGCTTAGGAACAAATTTGTGGAGCTTTGTTTAAGCAAGGCTGGGAGCCATGTGGTGGAGAAATGTTTGGGCTGTGGGGAGGATGAAGCTGCTGGAATTATCTTTGAAATAATGGAGAATAAAGAGAATTGGATTCAAGTTTTTACAAATCAATATGGAAATTATGTTGCTCAGAAAGCATTGTCGGTTGCTAAGGTGAAACGAATATATCTATTTCATCACGTTAAAACATGTGATATATATTTCTGTCGACTCATAAAATATATACTTCGATGTTGCAGGGAGAAGCATATAACTTACTAGTAAGGGCTATTAAGAGTCAACAACATATTCTTGAATTTCATCCTTATGGAAGAAGTGTGGTTGCAGCTGCAGTCAAACGTAAAAGAAGAAGCTCGATATCAAATCCTCAGTGTCTTAACTAGTTTACTTTTGCCATTTTCTTCCTTTTCTAGATTAAGGGCATTAGTTTTGTTTGGTGTAATTAGAAAGAGCGCTTTTGGGGGAAGAATCTATGAATTGTTGTTGGTTTGATTGAATTACTTAAATCATGTTAAGAGAAGAATATGTAATAGTTTATGTTTATGTAGACGTTTTTTATTTTTATTTTTATTTTTTTAGATTTAGTTGTTGGACCAAAGTTTTTGATGTTATAAATTTGTGGGGGAAGTGTTTTGCATTCCTAAGTTTCTTTGGGTTGAGTTAGTTATTCTTCTCCACGCAACATTATTATTATTTCTATTGTTGTGTATATATATCCTTATCTTTTGAATGAAAGTTTAGTATTATTTCTAATCTAACGATATACTACTAATGAGAAAACATAGTCATAGATTTAGACGAGGGAATAATAAATCATACAAAATAAGGAACAAACTGAATCAACAATGAAAACCGACAAAGAAAACAACACAGCCATCATCTTATTCTTTGACTCTTGCACAATTTTCCTCCAACAATAGATGTCATACTTAAATATCTAGAAATAAGGAAATACAATACTTTTTATTATATATATATTTAGTGAAAATTCAAATTCACGATCTTTTAATCGAAAATAACTGCATTTTAAATAGTTGACCTATATTCGGATCCACAATCCAATACGTTTTTTGAATATAGGACAAAACCCAACAAATAGAATAGAATAGAAGTAGATAAATACATACACATTATATTATTATTTATTAAAGCACAGCACACACATGACACACCAAACCTCAAGCTTTAAGAAATAATAATTGAGACACAAAATTATTGGGGGTGGTTGGCTTTTGTAGGGCACAGTGGGCTTAAATTTAAGGGCACTTGGTCCTGCCCTTATAGGTGTGGATGTGGCTGTAGCAAGGGCAGTGGTGCCTGCCGTAAGCCCCAGCGCTGGGAACGCACTTGCATTTGCCGCAGCACAGTCTGCAGTACTTCATGCACCGACGCTTTAGCCCCGCTCGCGAGCACCTCTTTCGACACGGCCTCGTGCACACATCTTCAAATTACAAGTTTAGTTTCTAAACTTTTAGAATCGTGTCTAATAAATTTATGAACTTTAAAAAACGTACAATAGAACATACCTAATCTTTCTATGTTTCCATTTAATAGATCCTTAACTTTAAAATTGTCAAGTACACATTTTTTTTTCTTTTTAATTCAAGAATTTATGAGGAAAATTGGGGTTTCTAGCCCCATTATATAACTCATCTAGATTTTTGACCACTTTTTAAAAAAAATTAATTTGTGACCCTACTGTTCTAATTTGTGACCCTTTCCCACTTTTTGTCTTTGTAAAATTACCAAAATATCCTTGTTTATTTTAAGTAAATTTATCCACCAATCTCTTCTCCCAACCCTTAGCATTTTTNCTCTTTTTCTCTCCAACCTTCTCTTTCTCAGTTTCTCTCGTTTCTTCTCGTCAACTCTTACCCCTTCTTTTGTTTTTTCATTCCATCTACTCTCAGTTACCATTTTTTCTCTAATTCCTCTCTTGCAGCTCTCTCGTGGAAGGCTGGAATGAAATTTTATTATATTTTTTTTCTTTTTTCTTTAATAAGTCGGTCGGTCGGTTCATTTGATATTGGCAGAGCCAACCGACCGATTCATCTTTTAAACCGACCGGTCGGTCGGATCGATTTTTCGATCTTCTATGCTCACCCCTACACCAACTGATCCCTTCATTATTTGAAAGAGGTGTCATGTCCTTTGAAACCCATTTGATTGCAATAATTGGCTGAACAATTTTTTTTTGCTCTTTTGAGTACAACATCTAAAGGTGGAATCGAATACACAATCTCTTGATTGAAGATATATGTTAATTATCGGTGAGTTATACTCGTTTTTGACAATAATTGGCTGAATATTAGTTCGAGTCATATGTGACTTTTTGAGTTACAAAAATCTCCATATGGAAGCTAAATGTATGAATGGATTAATTATTTGTGGCATATTACTAGTAGTTATGATCTTTTGAAAGCAAGAGGTCGAGTTTCAGTACACTAGTGCAATAAAGGTTAGCAACATCTCCTATGCTCTGTCCAAATATTTGGATGTGGAACGGTTAACAATAAAGGAAGGTCTCCTTCACGTTCAAATTCTAGATCTCACATAAGTAGCCTATGAATCAGACTGCCTAGAAGCAATTCATATTTTTTAAAAAAAGAAGAAGACTTGGTTCAAAGAATGTCCGAAGAAAGTGGTTGTTTTTATCAAAAGAAGCGATTTCATCTCACTTTTCTATTATGTTGTCTTCAAGCTTTTCTCAATGCCTTTTTAATCTTTCAATGTTTGTCTGAGTTTAAATGTAATCCAAGTGATTTTTTCTTCTAATGAAATTTTATCTTTTCTTAAAAAAAAATTACATGTCAACCTAATCAGGTTTTTAGGCTGTATAGCCATTTTTCCCACATAGGATTTGTTTTTACCCATTTTTTTCAAAAGTTAAGTTTTCTAGACTTTGTTGATATTCCCTAATTTTTAGATTTCCCCCATTTTTCTTTAAAACAATGCATTTTCTCTTTCTTATAATTTGAAAACTTTATTCTTCTCTCTTCCCAACACAACAAAAAAAATCTCTCTTTTCTTCTTTTTCTACCCATTTTTCATTTTATTCTCTCTCACTCACTCCCCATTTTTGTTTTATGTTGTTCATGAAAACGTTCACAAAAAATAGTTTATGGGTTTTCTTCCAACTTCATGAAACTGTGGGTACTGTCGAGTCTTCCATTGTGAGCGAAAGAAATATAAACCAAAACTAACAAGATTCAAGACATAGATCGAGATCTAACGGAGAGGGAGAGAAAGTGAGATATGGGTAAGAACGAAAAAGAAAACAAGATCTGAGAGATTTGAGCGAGCGTGGAGCAAGATCTAACCAAGAACGTTGATCTTGAACGAGATCTGAGAGACGTGAGCGAGCGCGAGATCTGAGCGAGAGCGAGATCGAGAACTGAGCAAGAGCGAGATCGAGATTAAGATCTGATCGAGAGCGAGATTGAGATCTGATCGAGAACAAGATGAGAGATGAGATGAGATAGATGTAAACGTGGGGTAGGGGTATGAGAAATAGAAAACAAACTAGTTTCTTGGAAAATTGGGGTTTCTAGCCCCATTATATAACTCATATGGATTTTTGAACCCTTTTTAAAAAAAACTAATTTGTGACCCGTTCTAATTTGTGACCCCTTCCCACTTTTTGTCTTTGTAAAATTACCAAAATATCCTTGTTTATTTTAAGTAAATTTATCCACCAATCTCTTCTCCCAACCCTTAGCATTTTTTTTTTAATTTTGAATCTCATATAGATTAATTTATTACTTAACAAACGAATCCATACAAAAAAAATCTGAAAATTAAATTCTCCAAATAAGTAAATTAAGGTGAAAAAAGATTTGCATGATCCAAGAATAAATGCATAAGATTTGTTCGGAATTAATTAAAAAAAAAAGATTTGCATGATTCAAGAATAAATGCATAAGATTTGTTCGGAATTAATAACAAAAAAAAAATTAAGGTTTCATAAATGTCGTGCCAAAATTGCATTAAATGCCCGAGATTTAATTGACAATAAGGGCTAAAAGAAACTGGAATTAAGAGGGAGAAAACACACAAAAAAAAATCTGGAATTTGGGATCTCGGACCGGGATGGGAGGATCCCGGTCCGGGTTAGAAGGATCTTGGTCCGGGATTGAACCATCCCGGACCGGGATCGCATAATCCTGGACTGAATAGTAACCTGGCCCGGGATTCTGCAATCCCAGTCCGGGATGGTTCAATCCCAGACCGGGATCCTCCCATCCCGGTCTGGGATCCCAATTTCCAGATTTTTTTTTTGCATTTTCTCTCTTTTTCTCTCCTCTTGACCCTATTGTTATCAATTAAATCTTGAGCATTTAATGCAATATTGTCCCAAATTTTTTGTAATTAAATTCGCCCAAATTATGTAATTATGTACGTTTTTTTATTTTTTCCATATTAAACTTTTAATTTACTATTTGAGTTAGATATTTTTTTTAAAAGTTAGATTTTTTAGGGTTGGAATTAATTATTGTGAGAAATTTGTGGAGGGAATAAAGATTTGTAAAGAGATTTGTGGAGGGAGATGTTGATTTTGAAACATGAGGGTACTACGGTAATTTTACATTTAAAAATTATGAAATTATTAATAAATAAAGAAGGGTGGGTCATAGATTAGGTTTTTTCAAAATGGGATCATAAATCCAAAGTGAATTATGGGAGGGGTCAAAATTTCAAATTTCCCAATTTATGAGGCACAGCAATAAAAGAAATACTATTATAAAATTTAAAATTGAAAATTTAGAGATCTCACTAGACTCGACAATGTTTTGACAGATCTCATCAAACTTTTGATTTGACCATCCATATTCCTTAAATTCTAAACTCAAGAGACATTTTAGTTTTGCGTTTCTCTTCTTCCTTTCGGAGTATTACATCAGTGAGGAATCAAATCCGAGACCTTTTATTAAAAGATGTAAATTTAATTATTGAGTAATAATAATGGGCGAATTTTAACACGGTAAGTTATTTGTAGATTTGACCCAATGAGTTCTATGATATGCTAATTTTTCAAAATTGGCATTGGTTTGAGAAGCTACATTATTAGTAGGGAAGTTCTAAAGCATTATTTTCTGATTGGCATAAATTTCCACATTTCAAAGGAAAAAGTTGCAAACAACCATGGTTTGGAGGGTAGATTTCATTTAAAATTCAAAAGAAAACCAAATTCAAGGATTATTTGTTTATGCCCTCACAACTTTTTTCTTTTTTTTTTTCGCAGATCTGAGTTGCATTACATAATATGAACAGAAGAAATGAAATAAATTAGCCGATCTTTGCATAAAAAGAGAGAGAGAGAGGAGAGGAGAGAGAAAGTACCTCCGTTGGCCATGGCGGAATCCATGAAAGAGGAGCTCAAGAGAAGAAAACAGAAGAAGAAACCGAGAACCAAGATCTGGGTTCTCATCTTTTTTTGGTTTTCCAGATCAGAAATGAAATCTCAGATTCTTCTGAACAGAGCACAACCAGTTTACAGTGTTTATGTTTTTAAAGGAGAGAGAGAGAGAACTGAAACCCAAGTCATAGGACAAGCAAAGCAAGTGGGGTTGGCCCCTTTCTTTAAACTTATGTTTTCCAAGTTTGAACGTGAAATTTGTTGGGTTAAAAATAGTCTTTTTTTCACCGGGAGAATGGAGGAAGGTCGGGAGATAAAGTTTTACTCAATGTTTAGAGGAAGGGTCGACTTTCATACTCAATTGCAAACGTCTTTAATAAATATAAGTCGAAGTTGGTCAACCAATTAAGACCTATGTGGTACATGATAGGTCCATCTTTGTCAACAAATTTCACCAACAGTTAAAACTGTTGGGTCGAAGTACTGTGGTCAAATTTCTTAGGTCGAACTCATACTAGCTTAAACTCCGAAGTGCTTGTTTCTCTTGTGCAATCCCTTCCTCACGAAAATAACACTCCAAGTCCAAATTTTGACGACCTTGATCGCACAAATAAAATTAGTTACAGAAATTTATTAAAACAGAAAGTAGAGGTAAAAGATGAACACAAGCTTTAAATAATTATAACTTATTAGAGTCGGTAGACCAAGTTGATAATCCTTTTTTTTTTAATTTTATTCAAGAAACAATGTAGAAATTAGAATGGAAATCAACCGACAGTTGGAAAAATGCTTTTTCCATTCGGGAAAGAAAAAGAAAAAAAAAATATTTTTGTTCTGGTTAATGTTATATACATTGAAATCACTAATAAGAAGTTTTTACAAAATAAGTATCACTTAATTTTTCCAAAATAAAAAAATAAAACACTTGTCCGAACATGTTTGTACCTTGATTTTCTCTTAAAAACAGTTTCCAAACAGTTTTAAGTTTTACCATAGCTTTGAAGGAAGAATTAAATAATGTTTTATTAGTCAAATAAACAATTTTTAAATCAATACTACTTTCTATTTAGTAATGCTCGTGTTTTTCGTTTTCACATTTCTGAGCAGAAGAGCCATTTTCATTTTCAAGTAGTGTTCGATCGATTACGTATTAATCAATATTCGATTGATTGGTCTGAGGTTATCGATAAAAAAGATTTGTCTAAGTCACTTCGTTTCTTTTTGTCCAAGTTACTTCTTTTTTTGTCCAAGTTTCTTCTCYTTTTGTCTAACTCACTTCCTTTTTTCTTTGTGAGTTTCGGGAATATCCCCATTCATAGGTCCGAGATCCACATCTATGAATTGAAAGGTCCGAATGATCAACTCTGCAATCAGTTGTTAGAATCAATAGGTCTTCAAATCGTTCATTTGAAAAAAAATTTCTTGTTTCTTCCTTTTCAATCAAGAAAAATATGACTATGTTCGATAAGAGTTACTTGTTTCTTGTTCTTTATTTTTTATGGGAAAAAATAACGAAAACATGTTTGACAATTATTTATTATTTTTTGTTGTGTAAAAGATTAAGAAGTAAAAGTTTTATATGAAATTTAATCTTTTTAATTTAAAAAAATTCATGTCATATTTATTTTTGATTTTATTATGCATTTTAAAAATAAAAGGATAAAAATAGTGCTTTTATCTATGTTATGAAAAAAATCTAAAATTGGAAACATAAATAAAAAAAACTTAATTATGTTATTTTCAAAATTTCTATACAATTTCTAGAAATATTTATTAAAAATGAAAAATAAAGAAACATAAACAACAAGACAAGACAAGACGCTTATGTTATGTTGAGGGGTGAAGTTGGAGGTATTGTAAATGTCCCTTTGTGAACACGTGGAGCCCACAAGGTCCACAAAGTGGAGAGCGCCGAGCACATTGAAGCAAGGTTGAGCACATCGAATCAATGTTAAGCGTATCAAAGAGAAGCACCAAGCGCATCGTACAAACGTACAAATATGACCGAAGGGCCTAACACTGGGTACCTGACATTTAAACTTTGAAATGAGATACAAAAATTTAACCCACTGGAGTCTTAGTACTTCATATCTATTTGCTTCCACCTAGTTCTAACTTAGGCATTGAAGTATAATCAGCAAAGCAAAATTTCTATATAGGTCTAATCGGAACTTGAAAACGAAATCGTACATGGTGCCTACATATCACTTGTCTAAAATCGACATTAACTTCTTATATTAAAAAAAACTAAAATCGATATATAATAAATAAAGAATGAGAATGTTACTAAACGAGTAGCTAAATATTAGCTCCGGAGTCATAGGCTATTATGGAAGAAAATGTAACATTGAAGAGATTCAAATTAAAAATGTGTCCATATGTTTAGATTATCAATGTAGATATTAATATTTTTATTATATCCTCAAGAAATCCATTTCTTGAAGGAGTCAATAGTATCATATTTATTAAGAGTATTTAAACTACCTTAATTAATTAATTAATTAATTAGCAAATAGTTCCAAAAAGGTATAATATTTTATTTATTAAAAAATTTAAAAATGGGGTGAGTGGGGTAAGAAAAATTAATGCAAAGACAGAGAAAACAGCTGTATTGGGTGGGGTGAGAGGAGAGGGGATCGAGGCCCTCTGTCGATTTCCTTTTTTCCTTTTTTGCTCTCTTTTTCTTTAGGTAATATTCTTTTCTTCAAATGTTAAATCTAAAACCTCTATTTTTTAACTTTCGATTAAATTCTTTTTTTAAGCAAAAAAACCTTATGGAATATGTAATTTAGTGAAAATTGGTCGTTTTAGTTGAGATATCGTGAGCAGAGAATCTTATATGATATTTGATGTGACTTAACTGGCAATCTGTAAATAGAATTTTGTACTTGTGTGGTGTTCGGTTACATACATTCTGAAGTTTAAATTAGTACTTGGTCTGAACTAGGGTGGAATCGAACTTAATTAAGTGCAAGAGGTTGCATACTTTTGAGAGTGGTCTTCTATTGTGACAGCATTCATACGTGTCATCAAGTGGCTATTATGCTGATAATAGTCAGAAGATCCTCTGTGAGTGGAATTGACATTTTGTCTACTGTTAAGAGATCTCTTGCCGGTTAGATCAATCTTCCTCAAGTCGAAACCAAGCTGAGCTTTGCTTCTAGACATGTTGGTCCTTCCTTCTCGTCTTCGATGTGTCCGAGTAGATTCGGATCATGACGTTTCACAAACTGTCAACATATTTCGTGTCGGTCGTTATTTTTATATAATTTCAAACTTTCTACAATATTTAAAAATTTAAGAAGATGGTATGGTGTAAAGGTGTATTAGTTGTTTTACTATTGTCATTGGATGCTTGGATTTATTTATTAATTTCATTTCATAGAGATATGGTCTGTTTCTATGGAGATTCTCCATCTACTATTCATAAAATAAAGAGAGTGGCAATGTGAAAAAGCATATAATAAAGTAGAACTGTATATTTAGGGAAATGTAAAGCCAAGCTTAGCCTCAACAAATAAATCAAAGGCCAAAGCTTGGCCTCCTTAAAATATTATAAAATCACGTGAGAGAAAGTTTATGCAATGGCCAAACTAAAATAGAGCATTTTCGAAATCACGTGAGAGAAAGTTTATGCAATGGCCAAACTAAAATAGGGCATTTTCGAAACTTTACCAAAGGTAAAACGGGGTAGGATTTTAAGAACTAAAGACCAAAATAAAATTTTATCTAAAACATCATGAATTAAAAAGAACTTTATTTCGAGTTTTTGAATGTGCATGTGCGTGTGCGTGTGTGCGCGCGCGAAAAAATTAAAATAATTGACAACTCGTTCTAAATAAAATCTAATTCAAACCTGATGGACAAAATGTATTGTAACTAATATTTTAAAATTATATGGCATTTTAAATATTTTTAAGATAAAATTATAAAAATTTTAGATTTAAGAGATCTACCAATCAGAACATAGATTGATTAAAAAACTCGTGAGTTAAACCTAATATCCCGAGAAGAAAAGAAAAAGAAGCCACCGTGGCAAATTTCACATTAAATCCTACTTCAATGAATCGGTTGAGGCCCATTTATTATCCTGGTCGTGGGCTCGGTGGGCCGAATTGGAGACTTGTTACTCGGCCGATGGTCCAAGATCCATTCGAAACCAAAATCCATCCAGAAATTAAATAATGGGCTTATACATTTTTAACATACTAATTAAAAAATCTACGATCTCAAATATTTACAATTCTGTTAATATTTCCAGCTGCCATTAGTTTTTTAATGGTTGCAAATTTGGGCAATCATAGTATGATATATACCTTTTAATCTAATAATGATAAACATATACCATTTCTAGTAGGTTATATAATACCTACACTAAAATATAAGGACATAATAGTAAAATGTTGTATTTTATTTTTTTTTTTAATTTTAATTTTAATAATTTAAAATTAATTTGGTTCTAAACACAATTACGAATTTAAAATCATTTTCATCTTTTAAAATACTGAAATTTGAAATCATATTTTTTACTAAGAGCATTACAATCTTTATAACTTTCTATTTTTATATTTTTAATTTTTTTCTCACTAATTTTTTTTCCTCTTATTTATCTAAAGTTTTTCTTTATCTCTCTAAAAAAAATTTCTTGAGTACGAGGATGGGAGAGGGCATCCCGACTCCTGGCCCACACCATTGTATCTCTACTTTACATTTTAACTTTCTAACTTTTTAAAAACATAAAATCAAAAATGGTTTTCAAATTTATTTTGTTTTCTATTTTGTAAAAATAAAAAATAAAAACTGTTATCAAACGTAATACGTACAATTTTTTAAAAACAGAAAGTGAAAAATAAAAAATTAGAAATAAAAATCGTTATCAAACGGCCTTCTTTTTTTGTTTTTATAATATAGTTCTCTTTTTGAACTCTATTTTTACTTCTAATAATGTTCTACTGCCTACTAAAACTTGGGCTCCAAATGAGTGACCACCACTACAATTTAATGGATTTTTTAAAGCCCAATTAACCAAACCATATAATAATAATTAATAATGTTAACAGTAACAATAATAGAAAAAAAATTAATATAATTATAAAATAAAATATTTGACAAAATAGTAATAATACTTTTTCTCTAGTTTCACGGACTAATATGCCAATCGAGGATAGGTTGATTATAGTTGAAAATTCATTATTCTTATAATTTATTTTGAAATTTATTACAGCTGAAATGAATTGAAAATCCATTGTCCTTAAAATTACGTATTAGATCTTCTTTAAAAGAATTATTTGGGACAATTATATGTTCTTTTTTACTTCAACAGATGTGGAGATGCCTACCATTTGTTTTAAAATTACAAGACTTGAATCTTTTATCTATTATTGCAGAAAAACTAAATATTTGAAAAACTAAATATTTTTTTTAGTATAAACAATGTGTGGAAGTGAGAATTTGAAGTCACTGTTGGATTTATTAGGTTAGCTTCATAAAAGTTGATTTAATTGGTCAATTGAACAACTAATTTTAAAAGAAAAAATTAAAATGAAAATTCGTAATACCTTTAAGTATCGAATGCGTAAATACTTAATTGCGATGATCCAAACTGATGACTTAAAAAACATCTAGTTCTGAGCTCGTCCTTGATTTTCCTATCGAACCAACCTATGATAGCTACCCTATAGATTTAATCAGTTGGTCTCTATACTTTTAATTTTTGTTCATTTTGAATTTTATACTTTAAACTTCTATTTTTTGATTTTTATACTTTCATATTTTATTCATTTTAATCATTTTGATCTTTTGATCTTTTTACTTTTAAAAAGTAATCAATTTTTTTCACTGTTCATTAAAATGTAATCATAAATTTGTATCGAAAGGTATAAAAACCTAAATAATTACTTTTTAAAAATACATGATTAAAACGCCAATTTTAAAAATACATAGACAAAAGGTATACCAAAACTAAAAGGAACCGAAGTCAAAAATACAAACCTATTTTATAACTCACAATTGAAGGGGAGAGAGAGAGAGAGAGAGAGAAGTAAATAAGAAATAATAATGGAATAGGAAATAGATAAACAAGTCCTCTGAATAGGTAGATACAAGAACTTTCTGCCTCGAAAGAATCCAAGAAAATATGGTCCAAATGGGAATTATAGTAGGGCTAAGAATCAAAAGTCCCAAACAGAGATGGGCTAATAATCAAAATGAAATGAGCATCCAAAAGAACAAAGGGTATAATAGATAGAAGAATAATGGAAAAAAAAACATAGACACCAAAAAAGGGTAGTGCAGAAGGAAAGACACATCAACTATGTCCACCTAAAGCATCATCAAAACATATCCCATTCCAATCAACATGCTCCCCACCACCATCTCCTTTCTCCACACTTTTCCCGCTCCACTCTGCAATAACAGACATATCATATCATTATTTGATATTTTGAAAAAAGTTACGGAGAATAACTAACTAAAAAACATAATTGAAGGAAAAGTATCGTGAATTTTTTACTAGAGTCAAGTTTTGTTGGACACAAAATTTAAAGTTCTTTAATAATATCTTAATTAACTGAGTTAAACTAATGTCTTTGTATTAACTATATAATAAAAACTTTTTTAAAAGAATAATATCATTTTACTAGTATTGTATCCAATTATGAGGATAAGAGTTCAAATTTACACTTCACATGTTACGTTGAAAAGAAACTATGTAAGAAAAGTGAGATAAAGAACTATGACAGGCAAATAAGGATGTCAATAAATTTTTCTCTTTTTCTTTTTTGTTGAAAAAACTTTTCTTTTTAAGGTTAATTCTTTAACATCATTAAATGTATCATTAAATATTTCACAAGAGAAATATAAAAGTAGAAAAAATTACCAAATAAAATAATGGACTTTCAAATAGTTAATGGTATCAAGGACTTCCCCCTTTTAAGGTTTCCATTTCTGTTTTCAAATATTTTATTGACTAACGACATTAACGTTGGAAAGGTGACGCCGAGACTTACATTGTCGTTCTGAGATGGGGTAGGAGATTCCGGTCCGGTGGGTCCCGGAGCTCCGACAGGCGGCGCAGGTGGGCTCGACAGTGGCGACGGAGCCGG